GGGAGAGTTCATCCTTTTCCAAATGCCTTTTGCAAGAGGGCTGTCTCACTGGATTTTGGGTGAGCTGATCAGTACCTGTCTGTGTGGCTGACTCTCTGAAGAGGCAATGAATAAAATTCAGGCAAAAATCTGTAATGCATATGGGAAAACTGACTGCCAAATATTGTGTGAACTGGTAACTGCAATTTAGGTAGGGAGATTGTATCCCCTAGTTACACGTGGCTTTTTTCAAGTATAAACAGAGATAAAGTTCTCCACAGTGTTTTCAGTGGGAGTGAAAATACTAAGTGCCATGCCAAGGTTTGCAAAATGCATTTGATTTCCCTACCATTTTTGCTGCTAGTTCAAATTAATGAGATGCTGTAGATTTTGACCCAGGATCATGGCATTCTGCAAGCCTGTTGTGTGCAGGGTAAAGTAGACTGTGTTTCTGTGAAAAGCAAAAAGATTCTCTGATAGGGATTTCCATCCCTGCCAGCAATGCTGGAAAACACATTGGTGAGGACCAGGCAAACATTTTCTCTACCATTCTGAATGAGAGATGCACATTCCAAATCTGGACACCTCACTGGTGTTTCCAGGGCTCGTACCACACCTAAACTTGGCTCTGCAAATGCAAATTATCAGATGCTTGGGTAAGAAGGAAGATCACTTTTGGTTGAAAACGTATCTCTTCCATGCTGCTTTGGTGTTCAGCCTCCTTTTGAACTACTCCTGTGCCAGCCCAGCCCTGTAAGCACAGTTTCTCTTGGTGAGCATTGACACTGAGCCTAAGTACCAAGACGTCTGGAAACCCCCGAGCAGCAGCAGGCTGGCAGCTCAACCCATGTGCTGCAAAGGAAACCTATTCACCACCATCACCAATATTATTAATCAGCCCACGTTTGCTCAGACAGGAAATTGTTACTGACCACTTTAATTTTACTAAACAAATGAAACCACCCCATTACTCATTCAAATCTAATAAACCACAGAACGCAGAGGAGGAAGCGAGCACTTGAAAACGGCTTGGAGAAAAGTTCTCACTTTGTTTTGCCATTTAATTAAAGCCAGGCTCTTTACAGGAAAGGGAATAATTAAACGGCAGCAACATGTGTGCTTGGATAATCTTCTCCATCGGCATCTCAACATGCCACTTGCTATCGAAGGCAGAGGGGCTTTTCCTGCTGATCTTTACATTCCCATAGTGTTACCTGCTCTTCAGGAAGAAAAGAATTAGAAAGTACATTGAGTACCAGAACAGATCTCTTCTGTCATGCCCTGTTAGGTGGTATGGGGCTTTCTTAAGAAGAAACTTAATGCCTACAGATGTTCAAAAGGCAACTTCCCAAAGATGGGCCCTGGAAAACACCTGGCATCCAGCTGTTTCATCAATGCTTTGGCATTTCCTGACCATCAACCGTTTAAAACATCAACAAAATATCATTGCAGTTTTAATATTTGCAGTTCTAGCACTAGTTCAATATGTGATATGATTTGTATGCTTATGTAAATATTGCCTTTGCAGACAGAAGGCAGAAAAAGCATGAATGTACTTGCACCACAGAGAGCGACTGCTGTAATTGTTTGCCTTTCTTCTCAACATCAAATTACTACTTTAAATGAAAGTAATTTCACAAACAGGCAGAAATGCTGTTTTTTGCTATGGGAATTCTTACTTCAGCATAAAAGCTGTGTGATGAAGCTTCATGTTTAACTGATTCTACCTGAAAGAAGACATCATGAATGGGAATTATTCCTTTGTGGGGTTTTTTCTGCTCCTAAAAGATTAAAGAAATAAAACCCTGGTACCAGATAATCTCAATAAAGGGCAAATACCATAGAATCATACAATCCTGGAGTGGTTTGTGTTGGAAGAGGCCTTAAAGCTCATTCAGTTCCAACCCCCTGCCATGGGCAGGGGCACCTTCCACTAGAGCAGCTTGCTCCAAGCCCCTGTGTCCAACCTGGCCTTGAACACTGCCAGGGATGGGGCAGCCACAGCTTCTCTGGGCACCCTGTGCCAGCGCCTCAGCACCCTCACAGGGAAGAACTTCTTCCTAACATATAATCTAGATCTACCCTCTTGGAAGTTTACAGCCATTCCCCTTGTCCGGTCATTAAATGCCCTTGTAAAATTCCCTCTTCAAAATAGCACAATGAAACTACCAAGCCACATGTATTTGTAGTGCTGCAAAGGCCATGAAGGCATTTCCAAGTAGATACAAGTTTGTTCCTGTCTGTACAACACGTCCTCTTTGGGATTGCTGGTGTTTGGCTTCTTCATGCTCAGGGGGACAGACAGTCCTTGCCAATTTGGAGCTGGCATCTCACCTGGTTTGCTGTACACAATCTACTGCAGTCTTAATCCAACACCCACGGGAAGGAAGTCAGCAGGAAGATGTATTAATTGCATTGCATATGAAAGAAGCCCACGTATTTGGTCCAGGATGAAGTGGTGTCTGATAAGAGAAATCATTTCTGCTACCATGCATGGGCCATGTTATCCACACAATGCAAGTATGGAGGCCTCTTTCCTTCCCCACCATGAATATGCAGCAAAATGGGATGCGATCTGCTCTACTTCCCATTCTTCAAAATATTGTCCCTACCACTTCAGTTAGTCTTACTTAATTTGTTTTGCTCTTTGGAAGGAATTACAGATTTGACATCCTAGAAAACAGCTGTCATTTTTACAGGAAGAAAAAGTATGTGATTCATAATTTTCCAGAAATATGCACATTACACATGTAGCATATTGGCACCTCCTGAAAACCACGCTAAATCTTGAAACTTGGACCGTATTGTTTCTGTTTCTCGGCTTTACGTACCTGTTCAAACACACACCAAATCTCCCAGATCACAATGAAAAAGTCTTTGTTCTCTCTCGTCCCATCACCATTCGTGGGCTGAAAGGAATGTGGTGCACCTCACAAAGAAAAGGGTTTAAAACAGTGCCATTTTGTGATGGCATTTTCCAGTGGCACAGAAGGTCCAAGCTGATGGAGTGTCAGGAGCTGCAGGACAGATTTTTTGCTAAGCCAGAACATGCAAACGAAGTTCATAAAGTAATTCTAATTCAGTGCTTAAGTTCAGTAATAACTTTCTTCTTGTTTGGTTTTGTTTCTTTTACGTATTTAAAAGCAGCATCCTCAGCTCACCTCACCAGAAGCCATTGGATAAAACACTCTGGTAAAACCTGTACGTTGTGACCCTTAGGAAGGATGGTGAAGAACAGCAATGGTTCTTTGTCATGGCCAAGACGACGCTCGGCTCCATCTTTGTTCTTGTCAATTTGGGAAGAGAACTTGCACATGTTGTACAGCGTGAAAAAACCCTCACAAATACTGGAAAAAAAGCATTAATAATTAAATACAGTGAGTGTTTCATAAGGTGCCAGTGGACACACTCAGTCTCAGAAGAAATAGCTGGATGCTTTGAATAATGCATTCTTCAGAACCTTCAAAATTATTTATGAAGTGCATGTAAGGACAGCAGTAGTCTATCCACTAAGCTAAAAATGGCTTGCTGTCTGTCCTCTACTTTTTAGCATCATTTGCAGGATACCCTGTACCATCAGGTGTATCACCAGAGCTATTTTGTACATGCAATAGGGAAGTAAAAGCTTTGCAGTTCAGAGGTTGTTTAGAAACTTCTTCTGGCACAAATTTCACCAGCACTTCAAGGCACTTTGGAAGGATGAAATGCAAAAAGCAGTAATCACAGAACCCCAGACTGGTTTGCGTTGGAAGGGACCTTAGAACTCCTCCAGTTCCAACCCCTGCCACAGGCAGGGACACCTTCCACTAGAGCAGCTTGCTCCAAGCCCCTGTGTCCAACCTGGCCTTGAGCACTGCCAGGGATGGGGCAGCCACAGCTTCTCTGGGCACCCTGTGCCAGCGCCTCAGCACCCTCACAGGGAAGAGCTTCTGCCTAAGGGCTCATCTCAGTCTCCCCTCTGGGAGGTTCAAGCCATTCCCCTTGGCCTGTCCCTACAGGCCCTTGTCCCAAGCCCCTCTCCAGGTTTCCTGCAGCCCCTTTAGGCACTGGAGCTGCTCTAAGGTCTCCCCTTCAGGAGCCTTCTCTTCTCCAGGCTGCCCCAGCCCAGCTCTCTCAGCCTGGCTCCAGAGCAGAGCTGCTCCAGCCCTTGACTGTATTTGTGTTTCAAGGAATAACCTCCAACATCTGCTATTTCTGTTCTGCAAATGATTCTCCCATCTCACTGTCTAGCTCGATGCCACCCTGACATCCTGTGTTACTACGTATTATTAAGACAGTGGCATTTCCTTGATCTGAAACTGTATGTTCCTATCACTTCTTGCTGAAGAGTAACTTTGGTGCAAGTAAATAGCAGCCTTCAAAGGGAGATTTCACTGCTGAGCTGTTTAACCTGGCTTGCTGCAGCTCTGGAAGTCCCTGAACACTCAGTGCCAACAAAGCAGTTTCTCACCTATTTTTCCCTACAGATCCTTACCCAGCCATGCTTTCAGTGAAGGGGACAAGGGAGCCCCATCTAGGCCTGGTTTCCCTCTGTAAATGCTTTTTTGCCACCCCTGGGCTGCAGGAGCCTGTGAGGGCACTCCAGCAGCACAGGTAACAGATTTACCAACACGAGAACCTCTTTATGCAAGTGCTGAGGCTCCTCTTCCTCTCGCACCACCTCCATAGCAGTTACAAGGAGTGATGGTATGATGGTGTGTAGCCTTTAAACAAAGAAAAACCACCAAGCCCCAACTTTCAGAGCATTTTTGGAATCCTTTCCAGTGAACCTCATCCTTCATGTTTGCTTTAACAATTGTTTAAGCAGTTTTTGCTTGCTTAAGCAACTAGATTTATATCCTGGATCTGTAAATAAAACTGTAACTGTGCGCTTTCCTATAGCTACTTCTACCATGATTACTGCAACATAAAACAAGTAGGGGAAAAATCACATGAGCACAAAGAAAGCTTGTGTCTTTAATGAGAAAGATCAGAAATTACAGATCTGGCTTGATGGACACATGCTTAGCTCCAAGATTTACGTTTAGAAGCATCTCTTTAAGCAAAATGATATCCAAGTGAGAATGTAGATGATAAAATATGAACCCAGAAAGTCTGTGGGTTAGATTTCACAGAGATTTGGCTGGAGCTCCTGGATCGAGGAGCTCTGTCTCCTCTGGTTTAGACATTACACAGCAGAGCTTGTGATTTTTCCTCTGTTCTGGAATGCAACTTTGCCATAAATACTGGTTCTAACTACAAGGTGCAAAGGGATCTTTGAAAATACACTTTTACACTGTCCACCTGTGTCCAGAGCAGGCAAGAGTCTGGATGGAAAGTGCCCCCCTGCCCAGGAAGGAGGCTGCAATAGGAGCTGTGCTGCACACAGACCTGGAACTGGCACTTCAAATCTTTCCATCTGAAAATAGGCGCTGGTAAGGTTTAAATCACGAACACACAATAAAACGTACTTGAAATGAGGCCATGTAAATGAAGGGATTGAAAAACAGCTCTGTATCTCTCTCCTATTTCCCTTTCCAGGAAGGAACATCTCTTGGGTAATCTAAAAACAAAACAAAGTAGCAGAAAAACTTTACTTAACCTCAAGGTAATTTCCTATCCAGCCTAAATTTAGCTGTTTAGATCTTGTTTGGTGTGTGTGCCTCCCAATGTACCGACTTTGAGGGATGTTTGCCTAAAGCAACTGTTACAGCACCCTGGTTAAAGCTGCCTGGTTGAATTTCACATCTTAGCATTAATTTCTGACACAAAATGTCACTGTGTGTCTGGAGACAGCAGAGCTGATGGCTGGAATTGCGCTCACTGGAAACCCCAACCACCCACATAGCAAACAGCTGCTGGGAGCTGCCTTCCAGTGACTCCTATCTCTCAACAAGGAGGCAAGAGCGTAAAAACGTTATCATAAAAGCTTCTCCACGCTTATTTTGACACAGACAGTCATTAATTGAAGGAAGATCAAGTCCGGGACCAGCCCAGAACACTTGGATTATTTTTCCATGAGTCAAGAGTTATACTCAAAACAAAAATCAGCCTACAAATACCAAGGCCACGCTGGTGCAGTGAGCATTTCCCAGCACAGGTCACTGCTGCCAGCCTCCCACTGCAGGAGAAGACGTGATCTGACAAATGGTTTGGAAAGCGTTTGAAACTTTATTCATTCCATCTGTTGCAGTCTTTCTAGAACCTTTAATTTTAAGGGCAGAAGTTATTTGTACTGCTGTAAGCTCAAGGTCTATCAATTCTGGAAGGAGGATAAAAGAGTAACAAGTACATTTAGAAACTCAAATTGAGAGCAAGAGGTCCTTCTGGATGTAAGGATATGGAGAAGATGGAGATCACAGCAAAGTACTTCTTGTACCTGACTGAGGATCACATGGTCTTCATGGTGTGAGTCTTTCCAGGGTAAGGAGGTACCAGGGTACCAAACTATCACTGTAACGATGACTAGGTAGTGCTGCTGCTCACCTCAGTTCAGTGACACTGGACGAAGAAGAGAAGATAAGAAACTATTTTTAAGCATGTGAATTAGAAAATAAAAATAAATCACAAGTAAAAGGTAATGCCTTTATTAAAGCACTGCTTGAAGATAATAGTAGAACAAACACTGTCGTTGACCCTGTCCAAGTAAAGTGATTGAACTGGAATGAGAAATGCATCCACAGCCTGACTAGAAAAGGTCATTTCGGGCACGTTACTGCAGCACGTCCCCAACAAATACCCTTTGGGCTGCCCTGCCACATCCCTCTGTGGCACAGGTTCACAGGTCAGCACTGCTGCACTTCTGTGGCTGGCTTGGTCTTCCAGCTTTCCAGCCCAACATCCAAGGTCCCTGTTTTGCTACAAACCAGAATCTGAATACTTGAAATGAAACAGCAAATAAACTGAGAGGTACAGATGTCTTTTCCTGTTGTGCTGGAAGGAGCACTGTGAGGCGCTGGCACAGGGTGCCCGGAGAAGCTGTGGCTGCCACATCCCTGGCAGTGCTCAAGGCCAGGTTGGACACAGGGGCTTGGAGCAAGCTGCTCCAGTGGAAGGTGTCCCTTTCTGTGGTGTGAGGGTTGGAACTGGATGAGCTTTAAGGTCCCTTCCAACCCAAACCAGTCTGGGGTTCTATGAGCAGCACTTGGCACAGACACATGCACACTGATACTGAGTATCCCACTATTGTCAGAGAAATCATTTTTTCTTGTTCTTTTTTTTTCTTATTTATAGGTAGAAAACAATAGAATCAAAGATTAAATTGCATAAACCACCCTTGTTAAATTGGACCTTTATTTTCTTCATGAATTGAAAAATACATTTAAGATTTTGCTATTCATAGATCCTTAAAGCTCATCCAGTTCCAACCCCTGCCATGGGCAGGGACACCTTCCACTAGAGGAGGCTGCTCCAAGCCACATCCAGCCTGGCCTTGAGCACTACCAGGGATGAATTGTCTGGGCTGTAAATGAAAGGAAATCTGTACTACACATAATGCCAGCAATTTTGCCTTCTGTAATCATTAACACTCTTTTCTAAGTCCTTAGTTGATTTACTTTGCTCTTTTGTTGTTATGAGAACGTAGGGCCTTGTCTGATTTACATACGTGTATAGCCTCTGTTAGATGAATGGGACTGTGCCAGATGCAAGTCAGGACTGAAGATGATTTAAGATTGTTTCCACTCTTACAGCAGTCGCTTCTCTTTCTCTCTCTGTCATTAACAAATAAACACAATTATAGGCAGGACAAGGAGCAGCAGCTTGTTACTAGTACAAAACAAAGTGATAAATAATTAAAACAGCTCTAGGAAGGAAAGAAGTAAAACATTGTTTTACTGCAATAGTTACATTTTCAATCTGGCAGGGATTTGTGGAAGTTGATTCAGGACTGGGTTTGGAGTTAAGTGCAGGTGGTGTCAATGACTTAAAAGAAAAGCTATGAATAATGCATAACTAAACTTTTGTCTAGTAGTTATTAATAGGAAACATGATTCGAGATAAAGAAGTCTCTCAGCTGGCAGAAAGTGGTAGAGATCACAGTAACACTGAAGTTATCAACCCATGGTGCTTAGATGGCACTCAGCAAAAAAGGAAATGTATTTTCTCTGCTATTTCCCCAAGTAATTGTGAGCAGAGCAAATCAACATCCACACAAAGCAAACCCAACTCTTTCTGATGCAACTTCCCATATGTTTTCAATCAGAGTTTTCCATATGGCGCCTTTTGCTGGTGCATTTTAAAGCTATTTAAATGCTCTGATTACAAAGAATGATTATCTATATATGTATTTATGGGTCAGCTGAACACCGCCACTGCTGCAGCTGCTGAAGGAAATGAAAGAGGAAGGCTGATCATTTGGTTGTCCACGTGGCTCTGCATCCGTGGGTCCTGGAAACACAGGTAGTATTTTGCAAAGGGCTCATTACAAATGAGGAACAAGCTGTAGTTCCATCGTATCTCCTCCTCCCCTGCGTTCTGAAAGGTCACCGTTGGCTGGGCCCCATTGCAGCTCTGCTCAGAAAGTGGTAAAGGAACTCAGATGTTATTTTTCCCACCAAAAGAAGCAAAAAGAACAATAGTGCACCACTTCCATTTTCTGAAGAGGAAACACTGATGTGTCTCAGCCGTGCTACTCCCTGGGAACTCAGCAGCCTTTGGTAATAAAGGAGTTAAACAACAAGTTCATCTTAACGCTGGAGGAAAACATGTTGTTGAATTGCTCCTTTCCAGGGTAAATAAGCATTAATGCTTCCAAGCACCTTTTCTCTTTGAGGTGTGCTGTGGCTTGGCTGGTTTTTATTGACTCCCACCTCAGGTCTCACACAAATCAAGTGCCACACCTGAAAGATGCAGCCACGCCGGAAAATCTCAGCCGAAGGAAAACAAGAACCGCACTGAAACGCTCTGAAATTCAGCCTCCTGAGCAGACGTGGATCCCAAAGCACAACTTAATTGCATTATGTGGGCTTGGCCATCCAGTGAGCTGTGGAAACCCAGACGAGCATCCAGCAACTGGGTTTTTCACTGTGACCTTTTAAAATCTTGCAACAGTGAAAGTGTCACTGGAAGAGCCCCAGATCCTCTTTTTCTCTTTTGTTCTGAGCCAGCTCCTCCAAACCATACTGCTAAATAGCACTCCAGGTCTAAACACAGATCTGTTCTGTCTCCTCAGCACGAAATTCTATGCAAAAGCTGTGATTTTGACGAGTCTTTGCCATTATTTACTCTTTTCCACCCAGAACCTCAGACCCGCATATCTCAGACAGTAATGGTACATGTGCTGATGATGGCCTGGTCCCTCTGGATAGCATCGCCTCTCCTCGTGTGGTTATCGCAACTAGACATAAGGGAAGATACGCACAAAGGCACATTAAAATATGGAAATGGGTTAAGAATACTCCAAAAGGGCACTTGTTCAGCCTTAGATCAGCCTTGCATCAATCAGCCCAATAAAGTGCAACTCCATGATGCTACTTTTCCTTTGTCCTATGTGGCACCTGCCTGTTTCCCTGCAATGGGTGGACCTTGTCTGGGCATGGACCTTACTTAAGCTTGCTTAGGATTACCTGTAACAGTTGGTGCCTTACATAGTTTGAGTTAACCAGTTCCCTGCAGATTCACCACTTATTAATGGTCATCTTCATGCAGACCTCTGATTCAGAACTCCAGAGCTGTCATTAACTTGTTCTACCTAGGGTTAGCTGAAGTTGTCAAACAAACAAAATGCTCCATACCTCTAAATCCTCTGACAGAGCTCCACATCCGAGGCAGCATCTAAGCAGAGGAGGTGGACACTTCTGATTCATTTCTGTCCTTGTTACCCTGAGGAGCTGAATCTTCACACCTCAAATTGGTGTGAAAGTACGTTATTGATAGACATCTGCGATGTTCACTGGGCAGGACTGAGATGAGAAGTATCATTAACTTGATAGTGACAGTAAGTATCACAATCTTGAAAAAGTGCTTAACAGCATATTGCAAGATGCAGTAGGCAACGAGAAGACAGAAAGTGCAAACACCTCATTTTTGAGCTCTTTTCAGCTCTGCCACAGGGGTGTAATGACAAAATGGTTCTTCAATTACTTATTATAAGGCTTTATTATAATGTTTATGCCTGATTTAAGACTGCTTAGGAAGTTTTAATCATGTCATTTCATTGTTTTTGTGGACCTGACTTTGCCAGTCCAGTAAATTCTTCCCTGTAATGTGCATCCTGTACTCACAGAGCATTTGATTGGAGCCAACTGTTGGCTTTACAAAGCAAACTGTGTGAAAAGTCTGTATTTATCACTGCAGTAACAATGAACAAAACCCCAGCTCGCAGGTAGCAATATATACACTGTTCTACACATTGTTCGTGTTCTGAAAAGGAAGAGGAACGGGGCTGGGCTGCTTCAGAAATGAGACAGAAATGCCATTGAGATCTCATTTCCTGTGCAGGGGCTTGTGAGAGCTTCTGTTGCTGCAGTCCTACGTGGGTTTGAATCACAGAATGGTTTGGATTGGAAGGGACCTTAAAGCTCATCCAGTTCCAACCCCTGCCACAGGCAAGGACACCTTCCACTAGAGCAGCTTGCTCCAAAGCCCCTCCAACCTGGCCCTGAGTACTGTTGTGATTTGTATGGTCTTATACATCTTCCCAAAATCACTCAGTCAGGAGCAAGAATACTAAAAATGGGCTTGCTTTTAATTAGAAAGAGCCCTAACAGCTCAAGGAGATAGAGCTGAGAACAGTCCCTTTGAATGGGGAGCAGAGATTTTAGCACTCCTGATGAGTGGGAGAGACCTCAGGACACTTCAGCAGCTAGAGCAGCCTCAGTAATTAGGAGATTGTCCCTGATGCATCCAATGATGGTCAACAGGCCCCTGGTCTCCTTGCCACAAGCAGCTCAGCATATGCCCAGTTGGACATCAAACCCTTCTGAAGAAACTGTTTAAAGCAGTCTCAGCCAAGCAGACATAGGAAAATGTTAGATGCTGTTTGCCTGCTGGTTGTACACACTGCCTTCAGGATCATTAATCAGACTCCAAAACCAGTGGGATGGCTTAAGATGTTGTTTGTAAATTACAGTCCAGGGCCTCTGCTAGTTTAACTCTGGCTTCCTGTGTTTCGAGGTATTTTAGGATGGTACATGGCGATCTTGCTGCTTTCAGGGTGCGAGGCTTTAAAACCCATTCTTCCTCCCAACCAGAAATCATACATCTTTTGCTGAAATTACAACTTGGCAACAATGCACAGATATTGAGTGGCTTTTATGGGATGTCATTGATAGCTTCTACTTCCCTCCATCTGCTTGCATCCAGCATAGAAAGACAGTCTCATTGCACAGAGTCTTATGGTTACAAGACTATTAGTTACATCAGAAATGCCACCTGCACTGCAGAAACACATCTTCAAATGCAGAAGCCCTCCTGAAAGCATAAACAGATAATGTTCACTTCAACAAAGAGAAACTATTCTGAGCAATATTTTAGTTTATAGATTCCTAACTATATTATGGCCTCCTCTGGGAAATTAATCTTCTCTTCCTCCCTTCCCACCAGAAGTGATGGCCACCATAAAAGAGACCTTCTTGATCCCAGATGTGTTCCATTTCCTGCAGTAAAAATTAAAGTCATTGCCCTTTTCATCTGTCTCTGCCAAGGATGGAGATGCACTGCCTTACTTAGGAACTTTCTGCAACTGCTTTAGTTCCAAATGAATAAATCATTAGGATTTGATGAGCTAGCCAGCATTTTCTAATTTGTTTCTACTGGCAGAAGCGCTGCAGTGAGTTACATCCAAACAAACTCGGTGGCAGCATCGGCTTTATTATGACCTAAATGTCTAAATCTAATTTTAGAATGTGACTTGCAAAGGGTTCAAGCAAGGCTTTCAGAGCTTGGTCCCAGTTTTATTTTCACTCCTTTAAGTGAAAAGCTGATTCATGGCATTTACATAGTCTTTATATTCTGTTAATGTACGGATCCACAGCTGAGTCCTAACTCGAGCAGAGCTGAGACCCATATACAGTCATGCATGGGGCAAGACCCCCACATGTTTAGGGAAGCTGCTTGTGATGGAGATGGAGGAGGATCAACCCCTCAAAGCCACAAACGGTTTAACATGGTGGGAGGAAAGCCTGTAGGGAGAAAGACACATTTCAATATCTCACCTGAAAGCATTGAATAAAAAAGGACAAACCTTCAGCAGTTGTATAGCTCAAGAAATCCTGTCTCCAAGCAGCCTTTGATCCCAGGACTAACCTTTCCAGGTACATTGTACAGGTAGCAGTGGTTATGTTTCAGCTTCTGGGCTTCCAAGAGGATTTTGGTGGATTTTGCTGGGCTGCTTTCAGGGTCCATCCATTGGGCTTTAGCTCAGGCAAATGGCACTGCTGGAATTGTCTGGCAGCTGCAAATGCTTATATAGAATAAAGAAAGCCTGGCTCCAGAGCAGAACTGCTCCAGCCCTCGCAGCATCTCCATGGCCCTCCTCACCTGCAGTTAATATCCTTTAAAACACCACTAACGAGAAGACCTCCATATGATCCTTCTTAACCTTTTTGCTGGGGCTCTTCCAGCTGTCCCTGATGGAAGTGGTACCTGGGGCTCTGCCCCTGGCAATTGGATCAGATTTTGGTTGCCAGGTTTTGGTCTGATTTGCTCTTTTATCATCTGGAATTGGTTTATTCCAAATTTGGGTTTCTGAGCTTAGGTGGGCTTTAGTGCCCAGGACTGCTTTGTTTATGTATATCCATATGTTTTCCACATCCAGACTATATAGGTATTTAAAAAGTGCCTTATTATGTTGTATTGTACACACATTAAAGAATATAAATTCACAGACAATACCATGTTTCTGAGTCATATGAGAAAATACACTCCTGAAGAGTCTTTTAAATAACTAAGATACCATTCTAGAATAAAATTAAATGCATTAATAATCCTGATAAAATGTAAAATCAGTGTCAAAAGGGACTGTTACTGTATATAATGTAAAGAAGCCATAAAAGAGCAAGTTTAGTATCTTGGATCACATTGTAGCTTTGGTCTTGTGTTTTAGGGATTTCACTGTATGATTTTCTCTTCTTTTAAAACTAGCGGTAAAAACACATCTCGGGTCAAAATAGTAAATAATGAATCACCCACAAATTCAGCTCATTTCCTATCTCTCGCTGCAAAAATGTTGATTCCAGGCATGGGAGCAGAGCTTGGAGCCAAACAGTAATTTCTTTATGGTGTGCGTGACTCATAGGAAAGAACGCCTCATGGGGATAGCAGCAGAAAAAACCAAATAGCAAGAATAAAAAACCAGAAGTAAACTTGCTTTAAAGGAACA